TATTATAGCATCCCTCAATTAAGTTTATTAAAATAAAAGAGTTGATTGATTTTTTGGTCCAAAACTTTTGGTATAGGTGTCTAATATACTTCAACTAAAATGAAGGTGGGAGTATGTTAACAATTCCCTATATATATGTATAAAGGAGGGATTTATTTACTTTAAGAGTAAGTCTTAGTAGACTTACTCCACTTAAAAAGTTGTGTTCTACATCAAATTTGAATAATCTAATTGTTGAATTAAAATTTTTTAATGCATAGATCAAGTCTACAAACTTTTAAAACATAGAAAACAATTTGATACTTTGTTTCATCAATTCAAATCAACAATAAAATATTTCTATAATTATCCGTCAATTTGAATTCATGAAATAAAGTATCTAATTGTTTTCAAATTTTTTAAAAATTTTCAAACTTAATCTATACATTAAAAACTTTTAATTTAACAGTTAAATTTTTAAAATTAAATGTAAAACATAAGTTATTGAGTAAAATAAGTTTAAATAGACTTACTTTTAGAGTAAGTAAATCCTTGTTCGTATATATTTATGTGTGTGCGTGTGTGTTGAATTTGGTCATTCAGAAAAATTATTAAATAATTCAAGAATATTATAATTATTACTAAGCTTTTACATTATATGTAACTCAACATTATTAATTCTATCTAATATATTTGAGAAAGCTTAATTTTCACATGACATGTAATTGAATATTATTTTTTTTCTTATAAATTGAAAATTTTGAATGCATATCACGTAGAAATTGGTCAAGACATTAAACACGTATTGGCTTTACATTATCAAATAATTTCTCGATCATTATCAGACATCTTTCATGTAGAGATTGATCAAGACACTAAACACGTGTTGACTTTACATTATCGAATAATTTATCGATCATTATCATACATCTTTTGAGATAACTAATACTACTAGAATTTCTCTTATTATATGCGACTTTTCCTGTGAATTTTTCATAAAAATTCGTAGGAAATGTTGTTCCTACAAATTTTTCTGCGAAATTTTATCTGCAGGTAATATTTTTGTGGATAATATATTTTTGCAAATTTTAAAATTCGCAGGAAATTTTTTTGAGAAATTTCTTGCAAAAAAAATTGCAGGAAAGTTTTCTGCAAAAAAAAAAATTGCAAGAAAATTCATAGGAAAATTTCCTGCGAATTTTTTCGCAAGAAATTCTGTAGGAATATCTTTTACGAAAAAAATTAAAGAAATTACTATAAATTCTATCAATAATTTTTCACTTTCAAATGCTCACAATAAATTCATCCAAAACATTTGTTTTCATGCCTCCAACATGTGATACAATCTTTTAAATTCTAAGATTGTAGATTATAAGTCTAACACTCAACCATACAAATCAACTTGTAAGGTAAGTGTTGCCCCAACTTATATACTCTTTAATTGTTTTTTTTAATCGATGTGGAACTTGAAGTTTTTTTTAAATATTAAACTTATAAATTTAAATATTTTTATTTTTTTCCTTTGGATTAAAATTTGCAGAAAAATCCGCAGGAAAAGTTATCTGCAAAATTTTTCTACCATTTAGTAAACATTACTTGCGAATTTATTTTTGCAAGAAAATCTGCAAGAAACAAAATAAAATTCTTACAATATTTTTTGCAAATTTTTACCATGGAAAAAAATTTCTATGATTATTAAAATTGTAGCAAAATTTGTAAGAAATATTTGTAAATTATTTTTCGCAAAAAATTTCTGCGAATATTTTTTTCAGGAAAATTCACAAAAAAATTCTACAAATATTTTTTTGCAAGAAAATGACATTTTTTTAGTAGTGTAACTTTTTGGTTAATCATTTTTGGAACTCAGATATACTAAGCAGCATTTTAGATGGAAATGGTGAAATGATAATGAGGAAAAGCTCATGTGCTAGCCAAGCTAAAGATGTTATGGAGCTTCTTGAGGCCACGCATTTGGGCTTAGAAGGAGAAAAAATCTTGGGTGAGGTCAAAAGTTGTGCAATAAATTTTCTCAAGAAGGTTTATGTGTGTGCGTGTGTGTTGAATTTGGTCATTCAGAAAAATTATTAAATAATTCAAGAATATTATAATTATTACTAAGCTTTTACATTATATGTAACTCAACATTATTAATTCTATCTAATATATTTGAGAAAGCTTAATTTTCACATGACATGTAATTGAATATTATTTTTTTTCTTATAAATTGAAAATTTTGAATGCATATCACGTAGAAATTGGTCAAGACATTAAACACGTATTGGCTTTACATTATCAAATAATTTCTCGATCATTATCAGACATCTTTCATGTAGAGATTGATCAAGACACTAAACACGTGTTGACTTTACATTATCGAATAATTTATCGATCATTATCATACATCTTTTGAGATAACTAATACTACTAGAATTTCTCTTATTATATGCGACTTTTCCTGTGAATTTTTCATAAAAATTCGTAGGAAATGTTGTTCCTACAAATTTTTCTGCGAAATTTTATCTGCAGGTAATATTTTTGTGGATAATATATTTTTGCAAATTTTAAAATTCGCAGGAAATTTTTTTTAAATACTACAAATAATATATATAGCCCACAATAATTATTAAAAATAAAATTTCTAACAAGAGTAAAAAGCAATTGCAATGTGTTGAGATTGTGCAATAATACCTGCACTCAACATAGCCACAGGTTTAGCTTTATGGTGAAAGACCAAAACGTTTCTGTCACACCAAATAAGCCACATAACTATGGGGAAGAGTACAACATTAGACATGATTTACTCTCACATCAAAACGATGAGTTTTGTGCCATTCGTTGGAGCATTGAGGTTAGGAAAACCACTAGCCACCCACACTAGTTCAGAAAAAAAACACAGTTAAATAAACAATGACTTATAGTTTCGTCTGCAGCCAAACAACGTGGACAATTTCTAATTTGAATAATGTGGCGCTTAAATAGAAGTTGTCTCATTATATAACCATATTACACGAACACATTTTGAGGAAACCATTGAATTTGCATCCCATACATCGAGATAACAAAAATCATTGACTTGGCAAGTGTAACCTGCCTTGGTTTGTTGAGAATACGTCTTTTTCACCAAACAAACAATGTTCTACCTTGTCTATAACATCAATAAAAATTGACTTTGTGATTCATCATTGAAACTTAATTACATAATTCGAAATACTTGTCCAAATGGCTAGTGAACCGAATTCTAGTAACACCAAAATTGACTTGCATTTAAGAGTAAATTGATGACAAAAGTTTTATAATTTGTGAAATTCATCTATGAGGTTCAGAAACAATAAGTCATAACTCTAGAGTTTGAAATTTGAATCTTAATCAATATTTTTTTATTTTAATTTCTAAATTATTATTTTCTATCATATTTTAAAGATCAAATTTTTTCTATTTAAACTACGAAAAATCATGTGTAAGTTCGTAATTAATTGAACCTAGTCTCTTAAATTCGATACTTAGACTGTGTTCATTTTTTCTACCACGGTAAAATGTGTTTTTCTTAAGCGCATATAATACGCAACAAGAAACCAATGCACAAGACTTGTCCGTGCTTACCTTCATACTTGAAATGGAGCAGAATTTTCCCAACACATTAGCCACGAAACGAGCTTGAGACGTCATGACCAAATGTCTTTTGTAAAGAAGAGATGTGAAATTCACAGTCATGTTTGAGTGGGCAGTATAGGTTTCCATCTTGCTTCATAAACCTATTCAAAAATCATAGCTCACAAATCGCTCCATGTAGAAAACAAACAAATAATAAACATGTAAGGGAGAGAGGCTCTCCTAATTTTAGTCTATGAACTTTTGTTGATTTTCACATTTAGTCTTTGAAAACAAAAATCGATAATTGACAAAAGTTTATAGAGTAAAAATATATTTAATTCTTTAATTTATCTAATACTATTGACATTTTTTTTTAATTTTTAATTTTCAATTATAATAAGAAAATAATTAATGAATTTAAAAGTTTTTTTTAATCTGAATGGTATAGCTATATTTGTCAAACAAAAATAAATAAAAGTGTAATGAGTTTTTATGTTTGGAAAATTCTTTTCTAATATGCTATTTTTTTGATTGCTCAATAATTAAGTTTTGAATTGCACATAAGAAAAAAATTAAATAATTAAGTGAATTTGAAAAATATTAATATAAATATATAAAAGTAAAAGATATTACATAGAAATCTAATACTTATATAAATAATTAAATGCATTTAAAAATAATAAATTCCAGCTAATTACAAATTATCATATATGTTATGTTATTATTTATTAACTCTTATGTAAATTACTTTAAAAATTATATTGATAATATTTTTTTAATTTAGTGATAATATAAAATATTTTTACATTATAATTATGTAGAAATTATAAAGTCTAATTTTTTGATTAAAATTATTGTGAGAAAATACAATATACACTCATTATAAATACTTTTTTATACTATCATTTAATTATAATCTATTAATTTTTTAATAAATTTATTGATTTTAATAATTATTATTCCATATAGTTATACTAAAAATGAATATAAGTATTTTCTTATACTATTATTTAATTAAAAATTATCATTTTTATAAATTTGTCAACTTTAATGATAATTATTTTATGTTATATTAAAAATGATTTCTAATTGATTAATAATGTAAAAAATTTACATCGACAATACGTACCATTAAATTCAAGAATTATTTATGTTTAAGATATTTTCAGCATAATTTTTTTATTTATTTTTTATTTAGCACCTTAACAAGATCTAAAATTGATTATTAAACATTTGACTAAGAATTACCGGATTGATTTTAACATACAAAATGGAATCATGCGTATCCAAACATACCGAACAAGAAGGAATGACTTTAATTTTTTTAAATATCCAATGACACTTTTGCCCTGCCACTGAGAATGGGAAGAAAAAAAGAAAAATAATGAAAAATTAAAAACGCGTTTAATGCTGAGCATTGATATTCCAAACAGAACTCAACGACCAAAATAGAGGCTTTGAACACAAAAACTAACTCCAATCGTTCTTTGACAGAAGGAACACGGTGGAGGGAGAGAGAGTACAACACTATATGGAATCATGCATCAATAGAGAGAGAGAGAGAGAGAGAAAGTGTGAGCTTTTGTTTGTGTGTGAGAAAGAGAGAAAGTGGAGTCTTTTGACTGAGCATAGCCGGCAAAAGCCGTCTAAGGTTGTTGTTGTCTGGTTGATGATAATGTTCTTTTTAATGTCTGAATACGCGTTGAATTTTCAGACATACCCATCACCACAATTTTTTTCTTCTCTTTCTAGTTAAGCTTCTGATCCGTTTTCACCCTTAATCCCAATTCAAAGGTCCACCGAGTCTTTTTTACTTTTTAATTGATTCCATGGTTTATAAATTATAATAGTCCCCGAGTGTTATCATCTTCATCCATCTCAGACTTGTATATTATTGCTTGAATTTCCTCTCCTTTATTGAGCAATGATTCCTTTATGACAGTTAGCATTGTTTGTTGGAGGGTTAGGAATTGTGGGTTTGATTCAAGTTTACTGCTTTAGAATCGGGTGTTTGGAATCTTCCTGTATTGGATTCTTGGTCTCTGCTTTTGAATTGGGTATGTGTGTGTGACAAAAAGTTTTCATCTTTGCTTTTGAATAGAAATAAAAGGAAGGTATTGTGTAGTGGGTGGCTTTTTTAGTTTTTATGAGTTCTGGTGGAGTTGTTAGAAGAAGATGTGTTGATGGTGAATGGTGATCCTACTTTTTGAAGATAATATATAGTTGTATAGTTGATGTGATATCTTTCTTCTTCAACATGGGTTGCTTTTATTCTAAGAGTTCAGCTGTGAAGGACAGCAAAGAAGGTGTCACAAAGAAATTTCAATCATATAGCACAAGGCCTTCGGAGTTGAATGTTTTGCGGTTGAATTCGACAAGGAAGATTGAGGAGGGTAGGGTGAAAGATGCGTTAATAGATGGTGGTCATGTGAAAAGTTCATTGATTGACAAGAAGGCCAATGGTTCAGGGCAGTTGTATTTTGATCATGGTGGGAACAAGAAAATAGAGAAGCCTGAATTAGCTGTTGTGGACCATATTGGCCCTGGAAGGGTTCCAAAGGCTATAGAAGGAGAGCAAGTTGCAGCAGGATGGCCGGCATGGCTTTCTTCTGTTGCCGGTGAAGCTATCAAGGGATGGATTCCGCGGAGTGCGAATACTTTTGAGAAGTTGCATAAAGTAAGTTGCTCTGTCTCTGTTTGTATTATAATTAAACTGTTGTGTAATTCTCACTGCTGTCTTATGCATGCTTGTGCCAAAATTCTCTGAACACTTGCCAGGTGAAAGATACCGCGTGCACTTTTGCTGGAATTGTTAAATTATCAAGGGAAAAAAATTTGAAAGCATGGTCAATGTTAACTGGGTTTCCATGCATTGTGTACTTTAAAGTTCATGAACCAAATATGGGGTAGCCAAATATTTAACTTTTCAGATGATAGTCAACTTTATTACAGGAAGACGTTTCCTATAGGAATCATTGTGGTTGTTTTACGAATGAAATGTTGGCTAGTTTCCACTTACTGGCACCTGCTCTCCCATGAAAGAAAAGAAAAAGATCAATGAAGTTTGATTATGTAGAATATAGAAACGGGGTGACCATATTTTGTGTTCAATTCATCTGGCAGTTTTCTTATAATGCTTTGGAGTTCAAGATGGGGTTAATTCGATTATATTTGTTGTAAAGAAAGGAGAATGCCAGTTAGGCTGACTTTATTTTGTCTCGCTTTTGTGTTTAAAACTTTTTATATTGGTGAAGGAAGGAGTCTATATACTATGATATTCCTTATCATTGATGAAAGTGGTATTTTTCTTTAAATGATTAATTTGATGATGGCATGTCATTCTATTATGCAGATTGGGCAAGGAACTTATAGTACTGTTTATAAGGCACGGGATGTGATTAACCAAAAGTTTGTTGCATTGAAGAAAGTACGCTTTGACAATCTTGATCCTGAGAGTGTCAAGTTTATGGCAAGGGAAATCCATGTTCTGCGTAGGTTTGACCATCCAAACATAATAAAATTGGAGGGCTTGATAACATCACAGATGTCTCGCAGCTTGTACCTTGTTTTTGAGTATATGGAGCATGATCTTACAGGACTTGCATCAAATCCTGATATCAAGTTCTCTGAACCACAGGTAATGATGATATCTTTTCATTTACTCAATCTCTGTTTTACATGGAGTTGAAATTCTTGTGCATGTGTGTCTGGCATATAGGAAAGTAACTATTCTTGCCTTCAATTCTGTTTTTAATAAAAAAAACTCGTAAAACAGCAATGTCTTTTGTTTTCCATTGCCAGCTGAAATGCTACATGCAGCAACTTCTTAGTGGATTGGATCATTGTCATAGTCACGGTGTCCTCCACCGTGACATAAAGGGCTCAAATCTTCTCATTGATAATAATGGACTCTTAAAGATTGCCGATTTTGGTTTGGCGAATTTTTTTGACCCCCACCAGAGTGTTCCGTTGACAAGCCGAGTAGTAACTCTATGGTATAGACCACCAGAACTTTTACTCGGAGCAAATCATTATGGGGTTGCAGTGGATTTGTGGAGCACTGGTTGCATACTGGGTGAATTGTATACTGGAAGGCCCATTTTGCCAGGAAAAACAGAGGTATGAGTTTGTGAATCTAGTTTCTATCATTTTGTCACCATAAATGTTTTGCAACTGGGCTTTCAGTTGGCTTTGATGATATAATATATTTATATTTTATGGTATTTCAGTAGTTTATGTCTGTTGTAATTTCTTACTACAAGAATTATAAAGGAAAAGTAATTTTTGTACTGCAGTTACATGATGAAAATGATATTGTTTTTCTATTAAATTACTATCACTTTTATTGGGTGGGTTCTCTTTATCTTGCGCTTATTTTACCTTATTTTACACCAGTCTAGACTGTTGGCCTCAATTTTATAAATTGATACTAATACTAGTATTATGTGTTAATAAAGGTATATACAAGGTATCTGAATGTTAATTTTATTTTCTTGTAGGTTGAGCAGTTGCATCGGATTTTTAAACTTTGCGGCTCACCATCTGATGACTATTGGCTTAAATTGCGCTTGTCACATTCAACAGTATTCAGGCCCCCACACCATTATAGGCGATGTATTTCAGATACATTTAAGGACTACCCATCTACTGCAGTAAAGCTCATAGAGACCCTTCTTTCTGTAGAGCCAGCACATCGAGGGACTGCAGCAGCTGCTCTGAAAAGTGAGGTGAGCTGGTTTATATGTCCAGCAAGTAGTTATATAATTTGATCGAGTGGCATCACTTAGGAAATTACCGCATCTTTGATGCATTTACCTGTGTGGTGAAGCTCTTCATGATGCTTCCTTCCATTATATCCCCATACTCAACTTCAAACATAGTTGATATGCCACGCAAAAGTTTGATTAATGCTTCTATGCCATTGGATAAAACTTTTAAGTTATAACTTTCTCATTTGGACTTGGAAATTAATGTTTCTTTAATCACATATCTCATAAATCTTCGTTTAATTCATCCTCATTTAGATTCTCATGTAGCTGTGGAAGAAAATGTGATAAGACAAGTAAAGATTTCCTGACATTGGAACTATCCAAATTGCAAGCATTTGATATCTTGGTGATGTGTCAATACTCAATATAAGTTTGTAGTTGTAAATATTGTTTTCCATGATCACCTGCTAAAATGAGTACTCTGTGGGTTATCATAAAAATCTATCTTAATTTTCTTTCAATGTTCTTTCTTTACATGTTCTTTTGTAGAGCCCAATGTCATTAATTGATATTTGTATTTTGCTCCATTTAAAGGTAAAATGTTAGTTGTTCTTTATTTACACGCAACTGTAAATATATATTCTTTTTCACTTTAAAAGTCATACGATTGTATGTTTGTTCTTTTTCTTTTTCCTTCCCATTGTTAAACAAGATCTTCTGGCCATTCAATACAAGGGAAGATAATGAAATCAAGAAGTCAGTTGCAAATAGATGAGATCAAAAGATATATTTGTCACTTTACTGCAATGTTATTAAGTTGGAAATCAAATTTCTCATGCAATTCTGACAAACATATTTCAGGAACCTTTTTCCTTTCTGACCTGCTAATATGATTGTGATTCTCCATTTTGAAATTTTCCTCATTTATTGGCAGTTCTTTACATCAGAGCCTCTGCCTTGTGATCCATCAACTTTACCAAAATATCCTCCCAGCAAGGAGATTGATGCTAAATTACGGGATGAAGCAAGAAGGTATCCATATAGGTTGATTGTTTTTATGTTGAGGCAAAAATCAAAATCAATGATATGCATTTCTAGTAATTAGTATTATGATTATGACTTAGAACTCCAAAATGGAGTCTGTTGTTAGGAATATAAATTATGTGGTTTAATCTGAAAAATCTGTGTAATCAAATTGATGTCTTGTTGACTTATAATTTTAAATCTTGATATCTCTGCCAAGAGCAAAAGCATCTATAATGGGGTCTCTTGTGTACCTTTGGTACAAGAAATGTGCATATTAGTGATGATTGAATTTTTGAATACATAGCTATATCCGGGTCTTCAAAAACATTTTGGCCATGCTACTGTAACTGCTTGCTTTTATTTTGTTTCATCATGACTGTTGGCTATTCTTTCTGAATCCCTTGATTCATGCATTCATGCTGAAAGGTTGCCTTGTTTTGTAAGGCTATTGCTGATAACTAACATGTAGTCGTTTTTGTTTACTGTCGAAGGCAAGGAGCTGTTGGAGGTAGGGAGCAAAAAGTTGCCTCAGGAGTTAGACAAGATAGAGGACACAGGGCCAATGTCACAGCAAAAGACAATGCTGACCCAGGCTTATCAGTAAAGGTAATCCAACAACTTTCAAATTTTATTGAATGACTTGCTTCTATGGGATACCTTGGGGTATTGACCTTGAAATTGGGGGAAAAGAAAAAGAAATTTTTATACTTTGAACTGGCTCTTGATTCAGCTAGGATATTGTTCAATATTTTTAGATACAGATTGAACTGTTGTGAAATATAAAGAATGTTGTTAGTTTGATGATCACCAGTACTTTAAGTATTCTTGTGCTCTTTTCACATATGTTGTTTCAACTACCCTACTTTTTCCCCCTTCTTCCACTACATTTATCTTAGTGTTGTTTGATGCAGCAAGGACGTTATACCAGCTCAAAGAACCGAAGTGAATTATCCAACCCTCATAGGGGATCGGTGTCTGGGATTCTGGTTTTCCCTCACAAACAGTCAGAAGATAGTAAAGAAATGGAAAATAATTTATCTGGGCATATTTATAAGAGGCCTTCACATTCTGGCCCATTGGTTCCCGGTTCTGTCTGGGCAAAAGGTGGAAAGGAAGTTGATGACATGCCTCCTGTTTCTAACAAAGGGAACCTATCAAAACTATCTGGGCTAGTGGCATCTAGGACATTGTTGTCTGAAGATCAGGAGGATAAAACAGTTCACTTGCACCACAGAAAACCAATAGAAGTAAGAAAATCAGTGGAGTCAACTAATGGATCTGAGTCAAGAAGGCGGCAGGATCAGAAACGGATTGTTGATTACAATCAAATTGAAAGTAGAAGGATCCCGACGGAAAAATCAACTCCGGTTAGTTTTCTTTTTTGTTATTTCTTGTTTCCTTTTTTAGCTTTGTTAAATCTAAATATTTGGTAGTGGAAGTCTTTGATAGGCATCAATAAGGATTTGGATTCTCTCCTATTACATGATCATTCTGTCGGAGAGAGCAGACACAACTTTTTTGAGTAGGGACTAGGGTACTTGATGGCTTATAATGTCTACTAGTTATATTCAAAATTCTCACTCTTTTTCTTTCTATCAGAGCACTCTCTTGTTATGTGAGAACAAGAGGAATCCGCATTTCATTAATGACGTCAAATTGTCATGATTTTCTATCAATTTGTGCTCTTATTTTTATGAAATTCTCTAGTCCATTATTATTTGTTTTAAGCACCTACAGGTAGTACCCTATGAGTTCTATGTAGCATTTTTAAGTCACTGGTTTTTGGAGTCCAAAGTCCAAACATTTATGGTTAGAATCAACAATCAATAAACATTTGAAACCCAAGTACTGTGGCAATACTAGGTTTTTTTGCTTGAATCTTGCTGAATTACTGAATATTGGTGTGGGGTCCTATTTCAGGGCGGGCGCGAGTCCATGGGAAACAAGATATACCTCTCAGGTCCATTAATGGTTTCGTCAAGCAACATGGATCAGATGCTCAAAGAGCATGAGAGAAAGATCCAAGAGCTTTCAAGACGAGCGAGAATTGACAAGTCAAGAGCAAGAGGTGAGAAAGTTCGAGCACGGCGGAAGTAGTCAAATTACATAACTATTTCTTATTGTTCATCTTATATTTTTATGACAGCATCTATTTGTCTCAAGCCTTAGGAGAGAAAAAAATGGGGAGAGGAAGAGAGTGTATTCAATCTTAATGTAGCATATATCATGTAAATTGCAGGCTTTATAAGAAGTTGAGCTTTCTTCAACTCTTCATGTTTCACCCTTATTATATAAAATATAAGCAATTCAATTTATTATGTTCTTTCCACTCTTCATGTTTAACCTTTTAGGTTTAAATGATTTTACTTGTTTATGTTGGTGCTACACTTATTTTTCTAACTAAAAGGGAGAAGAAAAGTATATCCTATGAAGTTGAGAGGGACAATTATTGCTGAAAAGATTATAACCATTCCCAATATGAAGAAAAGCAGAATAAACAGGACAGTACGAAAATAAAGTTTATGTTGGCTTTAATGTAAAATGTCATTCAGATTTGCCCCACCATGAGATGTTGAATACATATGGCTGATTTTAGTTGTGCTAGAAAATTCAGATTGATGCACTCTTCCCAATTCTGTTTTTCTATTCCCTCCAAGAACACTTCCACCACCTGCCTCATTGTTGGCCTAATACATGGTCAATGGTAGTTAGAGCTGCACAATAAAATATGATTTGGTGAGCCATTGATTTATATCATGAAATAGACTTCAAATGGTGGGATACATGGATGAATTGGTGCTATGAATAACATTATTTTTCAAGTTTAATGACTGTTTTATATTGTCAATTAATCAATCACAGTATGTATGACTTTCAAGTAGTTTTTATTAATATTAATAAATTTATCATACATGACAATTTATGATTAGATGACAGTGAAATCTTTATCAAATTATCAATGCATGGACTATTTTCTCTAATTTCCTCCCTTTTTTTTTCTTCTTTTACAAATCTCATCAAAGAAAATGAAGAATCAAACAGGTTTAAACTGTCAAATGAAAAGAGACTGGCGCATATAGTTATTTCATTGAATACTATATATTTTTTATATGACATTTGAAGCTATTATTTTCATCACTTATATAAATCTTTTGAAATTTGATTTGATTCTAATTATAACTCCATGATTCAAAATGTAACATGGCAACTTGCGATTTGATAACCTTGCTAGGTTCAAGGTTCCACATGACAAACCGAAATGATTAATAAGCACTCTCTTATCTTCCTGAATGTCAATGGTGTGTCAACTTCATCATGGTCACTATGAAATTTGTCACTGTCAATGAGGGACAATACCCAATGAATCACCGGTGTCTTATCTTCCACAATATCACATCTACAGCTAATATTTCAAAACTAAACATGAGGGATGGTTGCCAAATTCAATCTAGTTGTGGAGCTATACATGCCCCTCAGTCCCTGTTACTCTAGTTGTGTCAAGCAACTGTCCCATGTGATGCAGTCTGGCTAGGCTAAAATCCTCGAATATTGCATTCATGTCCTTTTCAAATATCAATGTCGTGCTTTGATGTTCCTATACATGATTTGTTTTTCAAAAAAAACAGTAAGTCCAGGGATAATTACACCGACTCTTTTCAGATGAACTAATTATCCTTAGACCCTTACTTAGGAAATCCGAAGTATTCCTTTGTTATTTTTATATTTTGTGTGCGGTCCTTACAAAATTAAGAGGTTTGTTATTTAGTAATAATGCAACCTCACGAATTCTTTCCAACGAGTATGTGAATAAATACGAGATTGTCCTAATTTAATCAATATTCTCAATCTATAAAGTGCAGCAAATATTCTTAATTGTGATAATTTAAAGGAATAATAGCCGCAAAATTATTTTAATTGTGATGTCTGAGGATAAAATTCAAGAAATTATATAACTTTGAAAATTAAAAATACAATTAAACCTAATATCTAATTTAAAAGAAATCATGGGTGCCCCTATAGGCATAATCATACCCAGGAATTGAACTTCTTTCAACGAGCTTAAAGATTTCGGTTATCTATATGTCAAACATTATTGATATTCACAAATGAACTCTTGTGATCTAAACATGCATCCCTTTGACGCACATACAAAGACATCTGTCAGCAGCAAAGCTTCACCAAACTGAGAAGTTTTAATTGCTCGTGTACTCCATTTTTCCTGTTGCTCCAGAAAATCTCACATACATTTTATCCAATAAAATCCAAGGTTAACATGCCTACTAATCAATGGCCTTTTGAGGCCTTTTTTCTCTACTGAAGCCTACACAACCTGTGAAATTCAGAAACCCTATATACTTGGTAGTTATGACCATTGTTCAGTTCCTACACCATCAGTTTTTTCACCATACCAAGACCAGCAGATTCAGAATATGGTCAAATCAGTAAATTCAAGTTAACATTTATTTACACGATTCCAATTATTTAAAGCATATTTAGATAAACTTATCCGGAAGCACTTTTAAGAAGCATTATAAGAAGGAAAAATCAAATGACTTTTTTCTTAAGCTAAAATTAGTTTATCCATAAGATATTTTATAGAAACTCTTTTCCATTTATCTGCAAAATCTCATTTTTAACTCATGCATAAACTAATTTTTGCATGTAAAAAAGCTGATTTTAATTTTCTTTTTATTTTTCTTTCTTAGAAGTATTTCTAGAGAAATTTATCCAAAAAAAACTCCCTTAATTAAATTATTTGTTTCTAAAGCCATCAAATTCAATAGCATAAAAGTTGAGAATGGAATCTTCAAACATCTTAGCTGAACAAATGGAATTTTTCAAAAAGTCAGAACTGATATTAATCTCTGTAAGGCTGTAACATTTAAGAATTCAAATCCATTCGCAGAAAGCTACTACATGATGATATATACGTGGGAAACCGAAATGTAGGGACAGTTTTGTTCAACTCCAAAAATAACCTTTTAAAATCGCAATTACAATCAAAAGAAAATGAGCAATGAATTGGCCTAATGCATCAAAATTAGGTTGTGCATTTTTTAAATACTTAGGTTATGCATAATAAACCACGATGTAGTGCTAGTATGTTATAACATAAGCCGTGCGAAATAGAAGTCCACGATTGTTAGATCAATATGAATTCTTTGTTATATGATTTCCTAATAAAAGGCATACAAATCCTGCAAATGAAAATGGTTATGGATACAGCCCAAAAAGTTAAAAATAAACAAATGTTGAAATCTATTATTATGTAGTATGATCATTTACATCAAATAGAAAAAAAAAAATACATGTTGCCATTTTCATACAAACAATTCAACCGATGCTGATTAAAGAAATGGAACAATAACCAATATCATGGGGAACAGTGGAACACACTTCCCAAAATTGCAGTGATTCATTTTATGCAGCAATGAACCAATAGTTAAATGATTTTCTAGAAAACTCATTTGCTCTCATTGCTACAAGGAGTTGTCAAAGAACAGTGAGAGGAAAAAATTTCATCCATAGTGGGGTGAATGCTGCAATCAAAGCTCCCAGCATATCCAGCTGCTGAATTTATTCTGTCAAGCAAGCTCCTATCTAAACTCTCTCCCTCCAGCACCTTCACAACCTGTCGCATACTTGGCCTAACATGAGGGTCATGATGAGTGCACAACAAACCAAGATGAAGCACTCTCTCAACCTCATCTGTGCTATATTCACCCCTCCCTTTTAGTCTTTCATCAAGAGCAGAACACTCCTCTCCTCTCTCAACTAGTCTCCTTAACCAACTAACCAATGCTGGTTTATTTTGTTCATTTGGCCTTCTCCCACTCAACACCTCTAAAACCAACACACCAAAACTGAACACATCAGTTTGAGTTGAGGCTCTCCCAGAGTGAATGAGTTCAGGTGCCATGAAGCCAACAGTTCCAACCACTTGTGAGGTATGAGCAGCAATCTGCTCATGATGATGCATTCTGGCTAGTCCAAAATCCCCCAACCTTGCATTCATATCCTTGTCAAGTAACACATTGCTTGCCTTGATGTCTCTATGCAACACCTTAACCTCCCAACCCTCATGCAAATACAATATTCCTTGAGCCACATCCTTCAGCACCTTGACTCTATCATTCCACCCAAAGATTGCGTTCTCATCACCATTAAATATCCTTTTATCAAAACTTCCATTATCCATGTAGTCATAGATTAATATCAAGCTCCCTCTCTCTTTCTTACACCAACCTCTCAATGGCACCACATTCCTATGCTTCAACCTGCCTAAACTTGAAACCTCAGACAAAAACTCTCTCATTCTATGTTCACTGTCACAAGGAATTCTTTTCACCGCAACTTGTACTCCTTGCAGAATCCCTTTATAGACTTTCCCATTTCCTCCAAAGCCAATTACATTTTGGTCTGAAAATCCTTTAGTTGCAGCATAAATATCTTCATACCTAACACGGTGTGGCCAATACTCTAGCTCCCAATCTTCAATGTCCACTTCTCCCTCCTTTCTTTTGCTCCTTTTTCTTCTCATAAACAGCACAAGTATCACAACAGCACCACCAATGACAAAGAAAACACCTGCAGTAATCCCTACAATAAAACCCTTTGACCTCAAAACAGATTCTTTGGAAATCACAAATGAAGGCAAGTTTCTAGTCACCAAAGCATCACCAATGGAAAAATTAGAGTTACTAAAGCTCCAAGCCAAAATCTTATGACTCTCCACAAGCTGCCCTGTGGCCCCACAAAATCCAACATACATTTCATCCAAGAGAACTTCAGAAAGATCCACAGGCTCACTAATCAAGGGCTTCTGAGGCCTTTTTTGGCCTGCAAGGGCCATCGTGACATTAACTCTAGAATCCAAATAATCAATCCACACCTGATAATTCTCACCACCATTAAGCTTCAAATCCTCAAACTTGTCACTACCCTCCCCACCCCATAACCCAGCTGCATGGGAAGTGAAAGAAGTGAGAGAGTTTATGTCCACCCCCACATGATTGTCATTGACGTCATTGAACTCTTGGTTGTCAAACACATCAAACTCAACGCCAAACACATGGTTGTTGGGATCACCATTGTTGGTCAGGTTGAAGAGGCCAAGATGCTGAGCAGAACTCACCCCAGTGGCGCCTGCAGAAGGTGACAATATGAAGACAAAGCCATGGCCAGGGAGAAGGTCCTCGAATGGAGCAATGGAGAAAATGAAGGAGGTTGAGAATGGTAAAGGGGTTGAGGAGTTGGGAGGCTTTGTGGGAATCTTGAAGGGGTAAAAGGCACGGCCCACAGAGAAGGTGGAACGGTTGGTGAGGGTGAGAATGGAAGATTCAGTGGTGGCGTTGCCGTGGAGAAGGGTGTTGGTGGAGTTGAAGCTGGTGTTGTAAATGAACTCTGTGGATGAAACTGAGTTTAGAAGGATGAGGAGAAGGAAAGAGATGAGAAAGGAAGACATTGAAGATGGAAGAGACAGTTCAAGAAGATGCTATTGCTAAGAACAAACATGGCATTCATCAAATGATGGGTTTGCAGTCAAAGGTCAATATAAGTTGGACAAATCTCGATTCCTCGTCTAGAGAATAACTCTTATTTATTTATTAATTATATATATAATTATTTTATTGACTTAAATATATTTTTAATTTTTTTAAATTTAAGATAATTTTATTTTTAATCTTTTTCAAAATTTAAAATAATTATTTTTAATTTTATAATTTTCAAAAATTATATTTTAATCTTTTACATCACTAGTAATATATTTAAAAATAATAAATTGAGATAATTATTTAATATTAATCAAATTTAATATTATATTTTTACTAATAAAAATATTAGTAAATAAATTATATAATAATATTTGATAATTTTTTAACAAAATTTGAATATCAATATTAAAATATTTTTTTATAAGATTATAGATATTAACAAATTAATTTAAATTCAAAAAATTAAAAATAAATTTACATTAAATTTTTTTAAAAAAATTAATTTCATTTTTTATTTTGTAACTTTTGCTTGGACAAGGTATTACATACTAATTTTTGTTATTAAAAAGCCCTTAACTCAAATAGCTTGACTCTTTACATAATGATTGATGTTGAATTCTTAACTTGAATATAAAATGGTGAATAGAAATAATACTTTATTTTTATAAAGATATAATAAGAGAGAGTAATGTCTATTTATTAAACTAAAAAAATACTAATTTTTAAGGTATGTATATTTAGAGCAAATATTTTTCATACATAAATATTTATGATTTGTGATTAGGTACTAATTATAAAATCCAATAACTTATATTTTTTTAAAAATATATTATACTATTTTTATTATCTTAAGCGTTTTTTTTTTAAATCTGCAACACAACAACTCTTAAAAATTTCTTAAATAAAAGGTTTTTCATATTGGATTGGTGTACAAGTGGAATCTAAACAAAGTTGAGGAACAGTTGCTTATTAATTTTTCAATTGCTCTCCATTAATGACTTGAAAAGTTCCATATAGGTTGCTAATTTGGAAAAGGAGAACTGTAGAATAGCAACTTTATTGGAAGAAAAAATCTGATTTAGTATTGCCTAAAAGTCAACGAATAAAGCCCCTTAGGATAAGATTGGTTGGTAGGAGTTGAACCATTATGAGATAATGCAAATATACTCAACTTTCCCACAAAAATAAAATTAAATTTACAATGTACTTTTGTTTTTTAGTAAGAAAGTATATATTAGTCTCTATAAAGTAAATCAATGCATTTAGTTGTCTCTTCATATAAAATTAACAATATATTAAAAGACATACAGTGTAATTATGAAATATAAAATATTTTTTCATTGTTAATTATGCATCATTTGTTATTAATGATGTCAAATATATAAGACTTTATTTATATTGATACATATTATTATATTTAATAATATAGTATTATAGTTTAATAAAAATATCAAATTACTTATTTAATTTTCTAAATTTTCGATTGATATTAATTTCATTCATGAAATTTTCGTCATATTAAATAAGCATCTCAAATGATATTGTATTAAAATGGTCATGAAATGATTATCATTATTATTAAGTAAAAACATTATCGTGTCATTTAAAAATTTAATCAAATATGTAATTATCTTAAATATTTTTTTTAAAAAAATATTATTTATAACCATTTTACCAATTTAAATAAGATTGTTTTCGGTGAAAAGTTTTCCTGGTCTGCATAATTCATTTTATAGTAAATTAGCCATCACACAAACATGAAAAGTTAAGGAAAAAATAAAACAAAAACTATATAAAAATGGATGAAATTCTGATATGGATAAATCTTAAAAATTAAAAACATAAAAGTATCCCATAAATACATATGAGAAATAAATTTTATGCATTAATTATATCCAAAGTAAATGTATCTAATAAGAAAATCATTTTAATGAGAGTGAAAGGTTACATCTTAATTGAATAATTATTATATTTATATTTATATTTATTACACTAAGATTTCAAATTAGAACTTTTGATATATATTACGTTAACTTCACTATTAAATCAATTCTAATAATTCATAAAAATAATATTCAAATAAAAAGTCACATAACACTTTAAAAATGTCGCATACTTTTAATTATAATTTATTGTTAGATATATTCCATGATACTCGAGAGTTAATTGAAAAATTATTTTTCTTGAGAATCATATAATATATGAAACGATATTCATTAAATCTAACAATAAATTATCAAAATTAAAATAAAAATGTAACATTTTTATTTGAAAAAATTTAAAAATATCAAGTGACCTTTTTGAATTATTAAATAACTTTAATTTTTAATCATTTATATAATTATTTATTTAAAATATTTATTAAATAACTCTAAAAGTGTATTAGATATACTTTTGATTGAATTAATAAACAAAGTTTCTTTTTCTAGGATACTTGATATTTTCAATTTTTAAAATTTATTTAGAAAGGGAATAACGACCTAACATTATATTTTTCAACTCAACCTTAAATAAAAAATCCTAAACTCAACTACTTTCAATAGAAAACATAAACTAATTAAGACTACCATGTAAACAATTTTTAGATATACATGCAATAATATAGATAAACATAAACTAACTAAGATTACCATGCTTTGTGTGTGCGCGCGTGTGTGGGGTTAAACAACTCAAAATGTAACGGTTCCTCCATGGAACACTAGCATAAAGCTTGTATGTGTATGTATGTGTGTGTGTATATATATATATATACACACACACACATTACTACAAGATCTTGAATAACTGAAAATATAAAATTCCTAATTGTCGATGAAGCAACTAAAAAATAGCTACATAAAAGTAGCCTACAATAGAGCGCCACCTCCATTATGACTCTAAAATAAGAACTCCTCCTCCAGCCTATCTCAACCTCCATACCAAGTATGATTATCGTAATTTAATCACAAGAAAACATATTAGGGTAAGCTAGTATTCAAAAGAATAAATATATAACTAATATAGAAGTAAAAATAACTATATTATCGACAACATCATATAAACCACATCTCATGGCTTAAAATTTTAACAACATAGCAATAACACCTCTACATAACATTCAACAACATTAAAAGGTAAACAACTTAATTATTTCAATTTACACCACAACCATGTCATTCAACAACAAATCCACATAGCATATGAACCACACCACATCATATGCATAATGCCTCAACTACATGTGTTGTCACACATTCAACTATAAAGATCTCTTATAACAATAATGAGTAGTTTAAGTGGCTTGAGTCTACCCAACCAACAAAAACACAATCTTTTCAATCCAACTAGATCAACAATCAATCAACGCGATCTTTTCAATCCAGCTAAATCAACAACCAATTTGGATACTAATTCATAATAACATGATTTCTCAAATTTCACCCTTTAACTAGGAAAGTTCAATATCACTTGTCAAGTATAGTATAGCTTGGGTATGGATCCACTACGACATTGGTATGTATTAACCAAATTACCTATGGGTACAGTCTGCTAACTATCTTTGTGATACCATGCACTTCTCCAATAATTAGTTAAAGGTTTTATCCCTCGACTTCATACTTTACTCAGAAAATAACTAAAGATTTAGAGAAAACTCAACATGCCACTCCAAAAGACAACATCACTCAAGGAGGGTTTTTAAAAAATTGGGTTCTTAGAACACCACAATATCATATCCTTATAATTAGATATTCAACTTTTTAAAACACCATTTCTTTTAGTCCTGAGTCAATCAACACCACATGCCTAAATGTCTTAAGCATTCTCTATATTATCGCCTCAACATTTCAACATTTTGATCATTAATATACATTATCTTAAATCAATGCATAAAGAACTAACAACATATATCAACCTACAACATGTAATAGATACAACTACCACATACATGTTCAATTCATAATTTTCACCAATTCAATCACGTGATGACGAATCCAGGTAGCAAACAACAAGTATTTCTTAAACAACATTTAATTCACAAACTTCCCTTACTTAATGGCCACTTCAACTACAATATGGATTGACCAAAATTTTATATTGTTCCACATAAATCATAGAGGAGATATCTTAAAATAACTTCCCACTTAAGAGCCAATTTACTCACTGAAGGGCTTTTAACTTTGACCTTTCCAAGCACCACAACTGATGTCCACACAATAGGATATGAAAACTTTCAAAAATAACTTTTCTCTCCTCTAATTTTCATGTATCTCAATAGAGACATATATCACAACACCACATGTATAAACAACTTAACAACTCCAATCAAAATGAACTTACAATCAACTTCAAAACAACTTATATCACCATATACATCATCATAAATCAATATATAATGCACTAACTTCAATAATCACCATACACTATGTAAAACAACCAACACAACAAGATATGTGAAGAAGACTACAAGTCAAAAGGGGAAACAAGTTCTTTAAGTGTCCTAGTTCAAGGCAACTAGAATTTGTTTGGAGTGCCCAACAACTAACTCATAATGACCAACAACTAGCTTAGAGCTCCCAACAACTAGCTCAAAGCATCCAACAACTAGCTTGAAGCTATTAAAATTTGTATTGAGCGTTCACAACAAGCACTTTTAGTGAGCCAAGTCAAAGAACACTTTGAACGACCTCACATGCTCTCTTTGAGTGACCCCTATAGGCACTCTAAGTGATCAAACCTAGAAAACATGCATGAATCCAAAAATGAACCCAACAACTTGAGAACAACATAACAACTTCAAAAAGTCTCTCATTCAACTATAAGATTCATACATTCAACTTATAATTAATTATTTACTATCATCATACAACTTAAGAATGGAATAAAATGTCACATGCAACCGCCAAACACATAAAGATCATCAATTTCTTCATCCTTCACCAAGAACACCAAGTTATATCCTCAATCTCAACTTCAATGCTGACCAAAACATGAATCAACACAATAAAAACATCATACACAACTTAGAAAATCAAACAACAAGTTTCCTTTACCTTGAATCTTATAGAG